CGCTTCGATGCAAAGGCACGGCTACCTTTCAAGATGGCGGAGGGAACCGCGAAGAAGACTATTTAAGCTTACATTTGCTTTGGCTCTGCTCACTTGCTGTCCACAGCCGCCTCGAATAGCACATTGCTGATTATACTCTAACATGAAGTCAAACTCTTCTTTATTCATGCTGAAGTCCTGACATGTAGGGAAATCCTTGGGTGCTGGCGGAATTCCAGAAGAAACGTTGAAGATGAGAGCCATTCCTTCCATGTGGTGAAGTAGCTGGTGGCAATGGAGAAGCCAGTATCCTGCAAAGAACAACAAACATTACAGGGGAGTAACCGGCCCTTGGTATTCTATATGAACAAGGGTCTCCTTCAAGGTTCCCTACGGCATCTTGAAAGATCTCAAGTGAGTTAAGGCCTGGGATTTTAGGCGATATCAAAAAAATTAAAAACGTTATATTTTAACTAACATTTACTGTAGAGGAATAAGCTTTGGTGTCATGAAGAGAATCATGATCCTTGGAATTTTTAAATATGTTTTGTCCAAATATGGAGGTCACGTGACCCAAAAGACGAAAAAACAGTAATTTCAAAATGGGGTAATGAGAATGTACTTTAATGAAAGTTTTTTTGATTTCAAAGTATTTAGTAGACCTAAACCAACAAGACCTGTCCTAGAATGGATGACTTTCTAAATAAAATAAGGAGAAAACAGCAGATTTTCAGAAGTGAATTTAGGTCACGTGACCTATTTCACCAAATATCTCCTTAACGGCAAGTGATGGACAACCATTCTAGGACAAGACTTGAAGACAACCTACTAAGAGATAATATTAACCTAAAACCGACATTTTCAATGTATGTTCTGGTTACCCCATCTTCAATTGAATTTCTTTCCATGGAAATGTCACATGACATGTCATGTGACCTGCCGATAGAGATTTTAACAGTCTTAAAATGTTAAAGTCGTTCAAAACTACAAACCTGCAAAGTTTTATCGAAATCGTTTGAGAATTAACTGAGATATAAAATTAAACCACTTTTATCTAATTTGCATATGCTGACCCAGGCCTTAACTCACTTGAGATAGCCGTGCCTTTGACCGCTGAGCGTGCACATAGAAACATGTGAATAATTGTCTGTTGGTGAAAAAGGTCATTGCATCGTCGTCTCACACACTATGCATGGTCAGCGGTCGTCTCACCCGATGCAAAAGGCACGGTAGCCTTTTAAAATGGTGGAGGGAACCGTGAAAGAGACTATTATATCAAAAGTCATGAAATTTGTTCATGGCACTTTTCCATTTTTACCATAATACAATTGAAGCTTAATTTTGTAGTCACCCTTACAATCAGTATTTTTTTAAGCTGCTTACCCGGGTTATCTGTACGAAACCGTACTACCGTATACCCCCAGGCAGGAACAATCACAGTATCTTTTACCGGTGGGTCCTTGAAGTTGAGYCCTTCGGGTTGGCCCGGTGACCAGTGTTGTTGACTGCAGATATCATTTTGGCATACGATGTCTGGGTTGGGTTGTTCTATTCTACCTGTTTGATTACTAGCAATGGCGAAACCAATCTTGACAACCTACATATTAATGTATAAATAAATCCTTTCTCGAATCTTTTTTATGATTACTACTGAATGAACAATAGATACTAATGAGAAATTATTTGTTGGCCTTCAACCAAKATGACCAAAGTGACGCGTGCAAACGAAGAATTGTAGATTCTTTGTTTCATGGTCATAAAGGTTGATATATCATTTATTCATTGATAATTTTAAAAGAAAGTATTTCCTGGACATTTACCTGGAAACTGTATCCATGGAGATGAATAGGGTGATGCATGGGAAGCACTACATCTTCATTGCCAATYGCCCTTCTGTTCGACGTCATTACCAACTGAATGATTCGATTGGCTGGGAGATTGATCACGTGAGTACACAAGCAACCTTTTTCAGTACAATYACGTGTACAGGGCGTAATTCCCCACGTGCTTGGCTCTTGAAATAGCGCTCCTCGGGGAAACACGTGTCTATGGTGATTAATTGACGATCCTATCGGGAAATCGAGGTTAAGAAATATCTCTCTGACGTCACTTCCGTTAAGATTCTCTTGGTTTACTTCCACACTAGTATCGTGTCTGAGATCATTTAATGGGATGCAAACACGGTTAGGGTACCAYGCTTTATTGTAGTTTGTCCAAGCACAATTGAGAACTTTACATGGATCATCTCTAGTGCAATCACTTGAACTCGTCTTCGGCTCGCCATAATGTGTTCCCTCTTTGTACCGCAAAACCGCTAGCACCTCGTCTTCCCTCCCTTCAGGTACTGGGTGTCGGCTTTTACCCGTTTTCATGACTGTGCCTCTAATCCAGTATTGACCTACGGACTGGTTGGCAGTGATCTCGACAACATAACGTTCCCCCATATATCCGATGAGAGAGTYCACGGTGACCGGTTTGACGGGGTGGCCATCCGACTCGATAACTGTCAGTTTGTGTTGGTCTATTGAAAAGCTGCAATTGGAAAGGGGGAAAGGCTAKCCATAGAGATTATCACCGTTAAGGCGCTCTAACTTGCACTAACACAGAATTCGTCTAGCTCTGTCTATTTAATCTTTCGTTATCAAAATGGGTGTAGGTATGATTCTACTCTGCCTCTAGCTCTGCCTCTTCCTTCCCCCTCTCCCTCCCCCTTCCTCTAAAACCTATTTTCCTTTCTCTCCGTCATCCTCCTCGTCTTTCCATATCTCTATCTATGGATTTTCCTCTAAGTTTCCGTTATAGAGTATTTTTAGCAATCTTCGTCGGTATATCTGAGTCGTTCTACTAACCTATGATAATACTCTAGGCTTGCAAATATCACATGAAAGCGATGTTTCTGGCCCTGTTTGACAGTGAATATGCTGAGAGGTGCGCTGTTGTTTCCATGTCTTCCTTTACCATTTATGAGACTTGACCGGTATTGAAGAGCAGTTGACTCAGATCCGTCAAATAGATAATCTGTCATATAATCATCAGATGACAGCATTGTTAATACAATGAATGAAGCTAAGACAACATTGGAGAAGGGCGGAGTGAAGAACAAAGGCAACGTTTTAAATGAAGTGAAATGAAGATGAAATGAAATTATAATTGCCCGTTCCGAAATTCAAAAAGGGACTGGTAACTAGTCACAAACTCGATACCGTTTGAAGCAATCAAAAAAYAGACACCAGGACAAGAAAGAGCATACTAAAATTAGTAAAGCTGCTGAGTTTGAAAGTATTTGGATTAATAATTACAGCTAGAGTTTCAAGCGTTTAAAACTCGAAAAAATTTCAAAGAATGTATGGAGTCTTTTAGCAGCGTCCCCAAAAACCATACATTCTCTCTTATTTTTACAAATTTGGAAAAATTCCTACTYGGTGAGTATTCAACCAAATGTGCTCAAACTTGACAAGAACACTTATATTAGTGTGGTCTTTCATGTGGTGAGGTTCAGTTTTCGAYGAATGTAATATTTTYACACTAGTTCCCAGTCTCCTTTTGAATTTCGGACAAAGAAAAGTGACCAGGTAGGATTGGTCTTACTTCGGGTATAGCGGTCTCTAAATACATCTCCAGGTCCCGGGGTGGGAAGGAAAAAAGGGCTTCTGAGRAGGATTTCACTTGACATCATAGAATACCAATCATGAATCATCATTGAGGAGTATGGAAGACTTGGAATACTTGATCTGAAGATAACACATGCAATTATTGACATGTAAAGTCATTTATTATGATGGCTTATGAACTATTGATGTTATTATTGTTAATGAAAAGGTTGCAAGAAACACTGAAAAAACTCGCGCGCTTATAAAGGTTGTAAATTTGATGTAAATATGATGTAAGTGTYCAAAATTCTGTAAATGTAGTGAAAAAGATGAATTATACACCAGGAAACGATGGTAAAACCTGACGTTCTGGACTTTGRCCACTCTAAAGAAGGACAACATGGGAAAAGTCGATCATCTTTCTCTCTTTTAACGATGCATAAAGTGTATTTTTGTCGCACTACCGATATCAAAGGCAATAAAATCTTTTTTAATTCATGCAAACCTGTGAACAATCAATGGTCCAAACAAGCCGTCAGCTCGYTGTGCCTCTAAATGTGAATGATACCAGTGCGTWCCTGCTGGATTGGCAACAAATCGGTACTGAAAGCTTTGCTAGAATGAACGAACGTTATATAATTAGTCTACTGACAATTTGAAAAACTTCATACAATAAATGTATGATGGTGTTTTGAAAGTCAGAACTGGACGACCAATTATAAGTCTGGTCTTCAGAGGCAACATTGACATATAGTGACAACCGTCACAGTCATTTGTTAAAGTGATGTAACTTGATACCAAATATGCATTGCTCTAGAAACATTGTGCGCTTTTGTGCGAATTTGTTTTGATTTACTTTTCATTATTCCATGTGGGAACTTACTTTAGGCCCAATGGGACATTGCGAGACATGCGCAGTTCCATCCATCCAAGGGTTGTATTTCATGTGAATGCCATGGAAATGAATCGTAAGACCGTCAAGTTGAAGTTCATTCAACACTGTTACCACTACCTGCAAAATAAACTCTTTGTCGCCGCCGTCTTAAGTTATCTGGAAAAAAAGGTTAGGGGAGGGGGGGGAGTTATCTGGAAAAAAAGTTAGAGGGGGTGGGGGATGAGAGAGGGCACCCTAGAGGGCCTGATTCTTGATATTCCCAAGTATACTCTTGGTAAAGTGCAACGGGTAACGGCTGTTAGGGAGACTGATACGGCTAACCAGCTAGTAAGAATATGTACGAATGTATTWTGTATTCGTKACAGGTGTTATGTCACGCTGCCTCGTGTGACATGGATTTACCTGAGCTCCTTGCATGACCTCGATGGCAGGTCCAGGAAATTGGTCGTTGATTGTTATAATAGTTCTCGTATGACCGTCCACTGTATGTACCTTGTCAGCTGGAACAACTATGTCAGGAACCTGTCTGTACAAGAACAAACACATCGTCAATAAAACGGCAAATGTCGAGTTTTTTTTTAAGCAATAAACAACACATTTTCGTGCGTTCCTGGTGAAATAAACCACGCGGGACGTTGGGTGGACTCGAAAAAGGCTTAAAAAATCTCGCGCCGGAGGCGAGAGGCTTTCAGCCTTTCCAGTGTTTTCCCAATATCACATGTGGTTTATTTCACCAGGAAGGCACGAAAATGTGTTGTTTGTTGCTTTTGTATTATAGCATTTTCGCATCTGTGCATTTGACCAATCGGGAGCGCGTAGCTATAATATAAAAGTCACGTTTCACTGTGCAAAGTTTCCAGAAAAGGGATAATGTCAAATTTGTGTTTGACAAGCTATATACACYTTTTTTTGCTCGTGATCTCCCGTTGCAGGGCAAGATTTCTTTCAAACTGCTAAAGATCCAAAAAATGGAGTGATCCCGAGAGTTCATTGATGTCATCGATTACAGAGCAGCTTTGATCATCCTAATCTCAAAGGTCAAAACCTTGATCACAAAAGAACAGTGAACGTGATACCTTTACGACCCTACAAGACCTTAAAAAATTCTTTAAAGGCCTAACTTTGTAATTTGAGATACGCAAAATGGTACGCACATAGCATCTGTTATCTACGAAGATTGTGAATGAAACTAAAGCTCTTCTCGTTCTATTTCTTTAAATTTGCTTTCAACTGATATCTGCATTGAGTTGTAATTTAACACTATTTTCTGTTTTAGTGTTTGTTTTATTTCTTACCTATGATAGTCATTTGGAAATAGCTCCAAACTGCCATTTTCAGCTATTCTTACATTGTAGGTTTCATCTCGTTCCTTTGTGTTCTTTGTAGCATAGGTCATTGTGAGGGCTTCGCGGATGATAAAGCGATATTCGCATATCTTACCGGTACATATCTTTGAACTTGAAAATTTTATACTACACAACGATATTATTAAAAATGCAAAGAATCGTTGCATTTTCATTTGTTATTGTTCGATATTGAATGTACTGAATGCTTTGTTGATAAGCTGACATATAATCACTACGCGGGCAAATTAAGTAATTACTACCTTGTAATAATATTCCCGTAACAGACTGCGTCCAGACGATCGTCTGGACTGCGTCAGTGTATATTCGCTGTCACGGAACGCTGTAAACGCCTTTTATATCGTGCGGCATGACCGACATCCTCGGGAACCATTACCCCTGGGTTCCCGAGGATGGATGACCATAAGTACTCAGATCCAAAGATTCGTACCGAAGAAATGTAAAAATGAAAAAATAAAAAGCTGAAGAAAGTTGTGAGTGGGAAATAAAAGGGAAGCAAAGCAAATGAAATAATGAGAAAAATGTTATCAAAGAAACGATAACTTAAAAAAGTAATAAATAAATAAGAAAATGCGAATAAAAATCGGTTGAAATGGGAAATAAATGGAATATATTCAAATGTAAATAAATGAAAGTAGCTGTAAAATGTAAAAAAGTGGAATGACATTTGGAAAGCGTTGATGCAGTTATATTCAATTTTTTTGACATATTTTCATATATTCAAAAACAATATCTATTTAAAGGCAAACTACACTGCGAACTGTGTAGTTTAGTATTTCCCCACGTATAAGAAATCGATCTCCAATCGATTACAAACCAAAACACAGCTGGTKTGAGTCAAATCGCCAGTACGCATGCGTAACTATCCACTGGAGCGTAACGAAGTGAGAAATGGCGGGCAGACCAATGTGACAGGTCTTAGCATCTTTACGATTTCAGTGGTATGCCGGTGACTTCCACACAGCTAACAACATAGAATGGCTTATGAGAAGATGCAAGATGATAAAGACGACAAGTAAGAACTTAGAATGTATTTTATAAGGTTTATTTTGGGGTTAAAAGGTCGGAGTTTTGATAGAGTCATTGGATTATCATATAAATTGTCTATATTATATTTCCTTGCATATATCGGGAAGTTCCCCACATAAACCACTCTCTCGCCAGGTGAAAGTGGTTTTGGGAATATTTTGAGGAATTAGTTTAGGTGTTTTGAGCAATTTCGGGAAGAAATCCACTCTAATAGATTTGTGTATAACGATTTGGTCTGTCAATCGTTGATGTCTTCTCGAACACTTGATCGTGTAGCACTGGTATTCTCGTCGCCCTTATGCTGATTCTATTTTCTCATAAGACCATTCTTACGTCATAAAAATAATAATAATAACAATTTTAATCTTATATCGGAATGGAAGACTTAATCAAAGGAAGAACCAAATATATTTCACGAAATTAATTAAGTTTTCGGGCATTGTCCGAAGGTATGTAAATCTCAAGGCAACAAGTGAATTTTTCATGCAGAAACTTATTCTGAAATGCGCGCTATTCTTCTCAATTTGGGAGCAATTTAGTTCAACTGCTTTCAGCAGCCAATTTATTGCTTTTTTCCCCTATTTTTAGATAACATTTATTTAGAATACAATCTTAGAATCTCGTTAGAAAGAGAGATTGGAAAACAGAAATCGAAAGAAGGCATTGGAGACGTTTCGAGATATTTAGCTTCTTATTTTTCATTGCGAAACGGATGCATTTTTTTTATATATATATATTTGGGGCATACAATCTATCATGAACAAGTTATTCTTGTGTGCTGACATAAAAGAGAAAAAAATATGCTCTGATTGAACATGCAATATGAACTCTGTCAGACAGTTCGCAAGATTGTTTCTTTAGGATGTAAGCAAATATTCGTTGTGCCCAGTTCAATTTCATTTTTCAATTCTTATAAATCCTGAAAATGTTTTTGATAATTCCTTTGAATTGATGGCCCATGCAGTTATCATTCATGGTCAAGCTCATCTGATATTTGAATATATTCTTTTTAAAAGGGAGAGGTTAGCTCATTTTGACCACAATACAAAAAAATCTAAGTTTATTTGATTATTTATTTTAGTTTACATTAAATTCATTAGCTATCTTAATTTCTCTCCCTGCCTATGTTTTCTGAATTGTTTATAGGTACATAAATATAACATTGCAATTATTATTGTTGAAGTAACAGCTACAGAGTTTAGTCTACACCTACAAACTGTCAATCAATGTTTTGACATCTGGCAATCATCTCAATCATATTTCTATTCTTTGTTACATGGAGTCCTGCCATTATTCAAATAAACAAACTCAGTTTGAATGACTTCACAACCTTCATAATTGAACTCTTGCTATTTCATTAGTGCTGAATCAATAAAAGTTATCTTCGGTAATTAGGAAATAATATGTTGTTATTACAAGTAAGCACTGTTAGGGTTTGCATAGTCAATACATGGAAGGTTATCTTTTCTGTTATATTTGTTCTAGAAAAGKGACATAAATTTATCWTTAGATATTTTGGTTCCGTCGATACTTTGCACAAAGAAACGCACACAAGGCTCTGGGAAAACTATGGATAATCTTGATTTATTCTTTTATATCCCCGGAGCCTCGTCTGCAATTCTTTTGTGCATGGTCACTGAACAAAAATATCTAATGTCGGCTATTAGGACTTAATATGTTTATTATTAATAGGTGCTTGGGAAGGTATTATTTCTGTATAATCTGCGAAAGGAAAAGGGACACAATTTTTTTTAGAGAATACAATATTTGTAATGTATAAGTTATCTTTTTAGCAATTTTTACTAGAAAAGTATATTCAATTTTTAAATGATGTACAGTTAATGCACTTAATCTGTGAATTATGCAAATTTCTTTGTTTTCTATTGTATAATCTATGCAATCATGAAGTATTTGGCTATGCATAGGACAATTTTCTGTCATTTTGATGTTTTAATAGTTTCCGACTAATCTATCTGGTAAATAATACTGTATTTATGAGCAGATTCTCAAATTAGCGTACCCTTTAGATGAAATACTTGACAAGCATCTCCTCTGAATAAGCACTCCGCAACTTAGGAGATCTCTTGTTTGCGAAATTGTGTATGTAGTGCACGGCTAAATTGGTAAATCAATTGTGCTAAGACAGAACAGCATTTTAAAAAACTCCATTGAAAGTAATCATATAATAATAATGTCGCGGCTCAACAATTTATAATTCCCTCTGGAGCAATCCTTTATTGGGCCTTTATTTGTAGTTTTTGTCATTAACTTCTCTTTTTTTTTGCTTTCCAAGAGCTTGCTAGTAGTGGTTTTTCCTTGTTCTTTGTTTTGTAAGTGCTTCTAACATGGGATATATAAGTACCTAGTTCTTGGACTCCTTGAATACGCTCTCTGTGTTCCATAAGTTGATGACCAGTGTGGTGCTTCTTTGAATAGATATGGCAATCTTCCTCATGGTTGATACGAGGCATAAGTGTCGTGGTAGGAAGTTGTGGGAGTTACTGATGGAAAGTGAATTGTTAGACCAGGCACTGTCCTGCACTTGGGACACCCTTGAACTGTCAGTGTCTGACAGAACATAATAGTGTGTCACAGACGCTAATAAGAATATAACTAGGCAATATTTTTTCATGATATCTCATGATTATGAAGCATGTTTTCATTGTTACCTGTACGTCTATAAGAAAGATTTTATAAACGTTTTTACCGGAAGTTCGAGATCYGTGCCCCAAGGAAACACGTGCTTAGACATCAACCACACAAATGACGTCACTTCTTGTTGGGAGTTGAGATGCTAAAACATGGCGGAGTTTACATCTCACGGGATTTGTAGATGAATTTGACCAGGAATGGCGCCTTATACCGGTAGCGGTGATAGTAGTAATGGCAATACTTCAAAACATCATGAAACGTAAGATTTGTGCTTAACTTCAGCTCGTATCAGAAGGTTTTCCCATTTTGACATAACATGTCTTGCCAGGAGGTTGAGTGATATCATGTGTTTTGATTTCGTTGTTGCAATTTCAAATGATAATTCCACATTTTAAGTCCCAATTGTAAGTATTTTTATCCGTTGAAATCTAAAATTTTACGTCTCGCTACAACGATAAATGTGAATAGGTATTTAGCAGATTATGATAGCAGTTTTACAAGATGTTGAACGCTGTATTCTTGTTCTTGACAATTTCATGCTTGATTGTTTCCTGTCATTTCCATGTTAAACTTTTATGTATAAATTTTCAAATAACTTTAACCAAATCCAAGGAATATTCTAGAAAAATTTCCTTATTTCGCAATTATTAGCTTGTTGTTGTGAACCTCCTCAATCGAGAGCCCTCCATGAACGAAGTCCTTTTGAAAGGTTCCTGGGGTTTTTGCTGTAATTTCTTAATTAACTAAACGTTTTCTCACTCAAAAACAACTTAGATCTCTGCTGAATATAATTATTATAAGCTTGCAAGTGTTTGTGAACTCTCTTGTGTTACATATTTCGGAAGTTTGGCTTTGAATTGAAACTTGGACGCCGAGAAATACAATGTATGTACGAAAGCTGAGTATAAGGCCTCCTACGAATACTTTGGAATCACAACAAAGTCAACGGGAATTCCTTAATAGTTCGCTGTTATGTTTATTTTCAAATCTCTGTCAATATTAATTGTCCTAAACCCTCATAGCATGAACGAAAAGATAGAGAAAGTATGTGTATTTTTGTAGCGAAATCCAAAGATAATAGATTCTCGGTATCTCTTGTCTAATTTGAATCGAAACCAAGTTTTCGGCAAATTTACATTGATAAAAGGCTTCCGAAGTTGCAGATACAATTGATTTTATATTAAAAACCTTGCGAAAAGCGGTGTTGACTTGTATTAAAGCGTCGTGCAAGTACCTCGACATATTATGTATTTGATTTAAAATGTAAATAAACCCTCTGATGTCGAATCTAATCTTATCTTAATCTAGCTTGCTAAAGTTCTCGAGTATTTTCTACCGAGTGCGAATCGCTCTGTGACATCGTGTGCTTGATCAAGTGAATATCGTTGTACACACAAACTCTTAATTCAGGTGAATTTTTGGTAACTTTTAACTGTTTGAGGCCAGAAGTCATCCAAAATGTCACAATGTTGATTCGCATTCAAATGGCTTCTCACTAAATTTGCAATTGAATTTTATCGCTTCATTTGAATCGCTTTGTTCAGACATATACATGTTTAATATAAAAATAAATGTTTTGGTTTCCTTTAATCAAAGCATCAACTTAGAAATATGACTGGCTTTGTGTATTTTTATTTGTTAATTTATTATTTACGTAGTTTGTTTGTATATTTCTATAATTATTAAATTATTTATCAACATAAATATTTATCAAAAAGTTGATAGTAACCATGTTTATATAAAGAGCAAAAACGCAGGTTTATATCTTGCTTTCTTTTCTAAACTTGTTAAACTGCATTATTAAATTTGTCCCTCCAACAGTCGGTTTTGTGTTCCCAGGAAATAAATACTTGACACGCTACAGTGTACATCGGTTTAAAAAGCCATTAAACAAACTACAGAGGTCTGCAACATCAGCTAATGTACATGTAACAGAGGGCAAAAAGAAACTTGAAGCCCAGTCAATAGTTTTATGTTTCTTGTACATGTGTAGTATTTCAAAGGAAATCAATACTGTTAGACCCCTGGATGATCACTATGTATTTAGATATTAATGTTACCACACAAATAACTGAAACAATATCTAAGCTGTATTATATTGCATATTATTACTAGTAAAATGCTTTTAGTATTTGTAGTAATGGTGTATTTAGTTTTCTGTTGAATTGTTGATGTTAACTAAATTATAAGAGTGTAATTTAGTCGGCGTCAAATGGTGTATATTAATAGTTTCCAACTGTGTGTGAATCAATGCTGTCTACAGTGTGTATATAATAGTATTAATTAATACCACCTATTTCTTGTAGAGTGCAAACTCTAAAACCAGAGCTAAATTTTACTAAATACATTGAATTTTGTTTGCTTTTTTTTAWTCTGCACTAATATTGTCCCTTTTAGCACAATTTGGTTMATACTTTTTCACGCTTTTWGTGTTKGCACTGTACATCTATTTTATGTCATCTATTTGYACTTCTTAAYCAGATCTTTTATTCTTGTATATGCAAAGTTTGAATTCGACATTATTCTAAATAAAATCTTTGCTACRTATCACRTTGAGTTGAKTWTRAAAACGTTTCGCTTCCCAACCTCCTATTTGTACTTCAATTTGCTTGTATTTACTCTTATAATAAACATTTGTTCATTTGTATTGCAGGAAAGATGCATCATTATATGATATCCTCTTGGTTGACAGAGATGCCAGCCCAGAAGAGATTAAAAAAGCATACAGAAAGGTATACTTTAAGCATATTGTAATCACAACTTTATATGCACAATGTATACTTAACAAAAGTGAAGCAGTTTGAAGTTACTCTCAAGACTTGATAAATGATCATGCAGCTCCGTGGTCAGCTGGAAAGTGATTCCTTTTCCTAATTAAATTTTTGTTTTGTAACGATAAGACTGGATTGTTGACATTGACAAAGTGAGCTTTACTGCATCAATGTTTCTTCAAAGCATGTCATGTCTTGGGTCATGATGTGGTAACTATGGTAACCAGTCAGCGGTACATACACCTCAGACTTAAACAATGTTTAGTCTGCTAAATGACTAATTTGTCATGCAATGGACTCTTGTTTAAGCTATGCACCTCTAGGCCTGTTGTGATTTTTGAAGCTCAATTGTCACGGCGATTGCCACAACTACCATTGCCTGAGTTTTGAACATATTTCACTGCGATTTTCGATCGCCGCAACAATTGCAGGGCTGTTTACACATCTGATTTTAGGTGCACAATAGACAATCGCACTGCAATAATCGCAAGTGTAAAAGAGGCTTCAGGTTGTGACAATATATGTAGTTACTGTATGCTGCTAAMAAGAAAGTCAMAAAAGGTTTACCAAGMAACAACTTGATTTAGACAATGCCTTGTGTTGCATTTTTAAAACAGTGATTGGTAAAACCAAATAAGGAAAKTGCAGYGTTTTGCAAGAGCATCAGTTAACTGATTTTAGTCTGAGTCATCAAGTTCTGTATAATTCAGTTTGTGGAAATTCTACTCTTAGTGGCAATGCAAGGGTGSGGAAAGTGATATCTGAAAAAGTTTAATTCTAATRTKGTTAACCACGAAACCATCAGTGGTGCATCATTGTTCATCATAATAGGCTGATCTTGAGTTTCCTTTTTAGATGGCCTTAAAACAYCATCCCGATAAAAACCGAGATAATCCTGAAGCAACAGAAAAGGTGAGGCCCSACTTTTGTTTTGACCTCCAGGTGAAGCTGCTTCAASGTCASACTCAAGGGGACTATATTTAAGTCAATTTTCTGAACTACATCTCTGACAATATTCTTTCTATAATATTATTTTTCAGTTTAAAGAAATCAACCATGCACATACTATATTATCCGATCCTAGTAAAAGAGAAATATACGATAAATATGGCAACATGGGTTTATATATAGCAGAACAATTTGGTGACGAGGTATGTASTGTACCAATRTAGAGCTTAAGCATGRCGTTCACGSCAAACTGCAAATGGCAGTTCAAGATCACATGACCTGCTTTTTGGGGTTTTACCGTTACAGTTTCAACTTGAGAGTGGGTTATTTTGAGTTTGCCACAACTGTGAAAAACTGTTCTTTCCAATGACTAAGTGATTCAAAAGGTCAGGCACGAAATTCGTAGGTCTTTGGTTCAGCTCAGCCATCTGCCGTTTGCCGTTTGCAGTAAATGTGATGCTAAAACTCTCTAATGTTACTGCAGAAACCCTTGTCTCAATATCAATGTACCAAAGAGATTGTTGGGATTTAGGTTTTTCTGCGACTTGGGGGCGGAGCTTGCTACAAATCAACCAGTGATGCAGAACAAGTTTATGACAACTCTGCCCCTTAGATCAAAGGAAAGAACAAAATCCAAATAAACTTGAAATAAAAGAAGTCAAGATGCAAGTGTTTTTGCTGTAATTAGCAACAACAAAAGAAGCCATACAAACTATGTTTATTTGTACAAAAATTGTGGACTGAAATTATTTGCCTCAAATCATGCACGTGTGAATGCCTTCCTAAGTATCATGTAAAGCTAAGTATAGTCTGTATACATTGTTAAAAATTGTTTGATGGCCCAAAACGTCTTTATTGCCCTTTTTTCTCTTTGCTGAAGTGTGGTGTTTGAAACCATTTGAGACAAAGTTGGATTGTTAGGCTTAAAGAGAAATGATTTTGTTGTGCTCTAACAGAGTAGCAAAAAGTGCAAACTGTTCCCACATTTTGTATTGAGCAACCAAATCAACAGCTGCCATGTTGGTTGATGGAACAAGAGAACTGTTTGTTGAGAACATCTTGTTATATTCACGCAATATGCTTTCATTCTGTACCATAAAATTTGCTAAGAACTGCTTTATATTTATGTTGYTTTGTTCAAAATGGCAAATTTTTAAAGGAATAATATATGAAACTTGTAGTTTATAAAGGAAAATTGATTTTATTACTTTAAATGGTTTGGGAGTTCCAATTCATCTATTTTCATGTCATCATATTGAATCGTGAAAAGGTTTAATTTCCCAGAGGCAATATTTTGGATTTAATGAATAATTGATTGGTTGATTTGATATAAAGAACGGTTTTTCTTTTAAAATATTGCTAAATACAGAACGATTAATTAACTGAAGCTATATTCTCTAATTTTTCAATTTCAATTTCTCTTTTTGTAGAATTTCACCGTTTTTTTCGTTTCTATATGCAATTTCGTGTATCGTTTATTGTATGGTTAATTTTCTTGGTTTAATTTGGGAAAACCTTTCAAATGCCTACAAGATTGAATGATTGATTGATAAAAATTGTCCCAATGAACAAATTTGATTGGCTGCAATGCAAGAAAGCCAATCTAACGTCAAAACGTTTCAATATAACCGTGGCAATTTTGCGTTCTACATGCCTTTTGAGGTTAAAGAAAAATGTTGAACCTTGCTGCTTTTAGATTGCAATTTCGTTGGGTAGTAGTCCTAGTAATATAAACATGTCGGCGTTTTTTGGTTATTTCGACACAAATCACCAATGTAGATTAGTGCGTTAAGTAGTTCAATCAAAAGTGAGTTTTTCGCGAGACTTTTTGAAATACATGGATTTACTATAAATACAGTAGACAACCATAAGCCTATTGCTTTCTTTGGTTGTTGTGTCAAAAAAATAATTGTTTCACAGTTACGAATGGAATTACCATTCGAAAAGAACTTACAGTTTTCGCCATAAACATTACTCGGCACACCAAATTTAGAGACTTAAAATAYAAACATTATACARGAAACTTTATAAATTCATGTTTTTGTTGACAGAATAAAAAACCCTAATGAAAGGATAGCTCTATGTTTAAATAATTAAGCATCTCACAACCACAGATGCTCAATAATTCATAACATTCCTGTGCAATTGTGAAAGGATTTTCAGTCCCACTAAGTGAAAAAAACACTGAGCCTTGATAGACTACGGTCTTTCAGTGGATTAAGAATTCATGSATTTTGATAACTATGTTTGTTTCGAAGTGGATAGAAAGATATTAGCGATATGTTCTTAAAAGGTTTAACTGTTTTTTTTCTTACTCTTTAAAAAAATGACGCTGTTTTCTTTGAGTATCTCTTTATACTTCTATAATAGCTCTTTATCTGATATGTTCTCCAGTGGTTAATATTACCCAATCATGGGAACTTCTCTCTCCTTTGCTGTTAGACTCTGCACATTAATGAGTTTCATATACTTTTCCATTGTTGCACGTCTTTCTTGTTAAAAATAGTTAAGTTTTCGTTCAAATACATAAATTCAAATATGTCTGCGGACGAATCTCGTTTAAAAGGCATTCCTCTTAATGCCAAGAACCCAAAAATCTCGAGCACTCAGCGGCTGATGACGAACTCCAAGAGAAAAGTGARAAGCGCTGAACTTGCTCTCAAAAACCAGATACTTTTTCATGCACCAGAAGACGACTACGACCCGTATTTAGAGAATTTTGAAAACCCTYTCAAGTATTTTAAGCAGAACTACAAGAATCAGAAAATGGATCTAACAAATTGTAGCGTTGGACCTGTTTTAATTGACGACATGGCTCAAGCCTTCTTCCCATCAATGACAGTAACTGTACTGTTGCTTGGCAACTGTAGACTTGGAAACGAGGGGGCACGCATCGTTGTTAGAGGGCTAATGAGTAATTTGACTGTCGAAGAGTTGGATTTATCGGATAATGGAATAACTGTAAGTGCCATGGGAATTATTGGAGAGCTCTTGCAATGTAATATGACTCTCGAGAAATTGAGTCTTGCTGGGAACTCCTTGACAGACGAAGCTGTGGATCCTTTRCTGAAGTATCTTCACAGTAAATGCCTTCTGAAAGAAYTGGACTTGAGTCGGAATATACTATCTGACGGCTTTGGTTATTCTGCAGCGGACATGCTTTCAGCTAACAAAACCCTTGAGTCACTCAAGCTATCATCCAATCAGCTCGCTAGTACAGGTCTTGCTGCCATGGTTACAGGATTACAGAAGTCCAGACACCTTAACTTTTTGGATGTCTCTTGGAATTATCTTTACGACGCAGGCGCGAAAGCCGTAGCCGACATCATTCGATTGAATAAGTCGATATCTACTCTCGTTGTTTGTGGTAACTTTATCAGAGCAGAAGGTGCCTCATATATAGCAGATGCTCTGAAGAAAAACACTACTCTTCAAAGACTAAATATCAGTCATAACTTTATCCAAAATGAAGGAGCTCAGTTGCTTCTTCGCTCAATTTCATATTGCGTCAATACTTCTCTTAAAGAATTGGATTTGAACGGGACACTAGTTAACGCTGGTTTTGTCAAYTATGTGAAAAAAGATCTACACGAAAAATTCCCTAATCTTAAGGTGTTGCGTTACACAGAATTTAGGSAGTAACGCATAAGGTAGCGTGACGGATTAACTTCGACAGTTTAGTTGGAAATGCATTGTTTGTCTAGCACAGTCAATTAGCCACCAATTGATTTTGTTTTTTGATAAATCCATAATTATTCAGTTAATCAATCGATCAATCAGTCTATCTTTCAATTCATCAATGGATCTATCAATCAATCAATCATATAGAGGGATCGATTAATCAATGAATCAATCATTCAATCAATTAATCAACCAATCAATCAATCGAGCTTTGAGCTGTGGCATGTTTTATTGAAAGGCACTGACATATGTTTTTCTTTTTTAGAATGTAAAATTGTACTTTAGATTGAACAGTGGATGGTGTAAGGTTAGTGCTGATTAATCACTTTTCATCATCATCACTATCATTATTATCATCATCATCAGTATCATCATCATCACTATCATCGTCATCGTCATCGCCATCATCATAATCATCATCATTATCATCACTATTATCATCATCATCATTATCATCACTATTATCATCATCATCGTTATCATCTTCATCTTCACCATTTACATCTTAAGTATAGCATTTTAACACCATTTATCATCGTTATATGACCTGATTCTATCGTCTTACAATGATATATTTTTCTGATTATTATTTTTAGGCCTTGTTCTTTTTCTGTGGAGTCATAACCGGTTGCTATTTCTGCTGTTGTTGTTGCTTTTTCTGCTTCAACTTCTGTTGTGGCAAATGTAAGCCAAACCCTGATGAGGACTGGCCCGAGGATATGACGGCTTACGAAGACGCAATGAAAGAGGAGGAAGACTCCACCCCAGTYACCACTCAGCCAGGTTTGAACGGGGAGCCTGTAATGACCAGTGAAGAGCCAGGACCTACTGARGACGCAAAACCGTCTCAAGTTGAAAGTCCGACGAGCAACAGCACGGGCAGTACAGCAATCCCTCTTCCTGCTTCGTAAACAATAATGACTTATAGGATTTCATTTTGACATTATTACCACACTTTGCCTTAGGATTGTTTTAATATGATCAATTGTATTCAATTATTAGGGATATTTGAGTCATTATCTCTGTAATCCGGTCATCTAGTGACCGCTTTATAAAGGTCCGTGAGGGTAAGAGGCGGTTAATCCCCACAAAAAAGACCTCTATAATACGGGCATCAGTTGGCCGGGTTATAGCGTTTTATTGGCATGCCCCTGTTAAAACTGACCCGATTATATAGAAGGGTCGCATATTTGGCAGCCTCTCGAATACGAAACCTCAAAACGTGACATAATGTTCGGATTAGTGGGGTGTTTAGGATTTATCCATGAAGAATGACATAGAGAATGTGTGTATGTAGTATAATATGCAAAGCGTGACATGAGAATTGGCCGCACGCTGGCGTGACGTAATTGTGAGTCGCACTCCTGCGTGACATGAATCTCATGCTTCACTTGCATTTGTCGTTTTCATCTTTTTTATCAATTTTTCTGTCATTTTCTCTCGGAAATGTGTTGAACAGAGCTTTCTGCTATTTTTTTAAAGCTCACCYTAMCGCATACTTTGWAGGATTGTTCGTGCTATGATCGTGCTGCACTCGTAGAACTTCGGAGCGTTATCGTARTACCGAAAGGCCGGCGAAAGCACGCCTTGCTTGAATATATTATCCRAATACAAGTAATTCTGTAAGCAATAGGTTAACTGCCGTTTGTAAAACGTTGACATTATCAAAAATTCATAATTTAGCAAGTTCAAATTAGCTAATAGTGGATTTTTTATTTATATGAAAATTTGTTGAATTCTTAGTATGAGTAAGTGAATTTTGACCTGTGGTAAGGTTCATTTATTGGGGTTGGGTGAAGATGAGTAGGCCGAGTACGTGAATGTTTTCTTTTGGCTGACGAGATAGGAAATTAGCCTGAATTGTGCACTTTAACTAAATTACGACGGCGCATATTTCAAAATCTGTTATATAAATTAATACATGAATTTGTGATCCACGTGTTAGATAGATAAGTTTATTTGCATGAAYTTAWTGATTTACAGGTATTGCTAAAGTATAAATGAAATTTTATTTGATGGTTGTTAAAATCGTTTTCATCTTTCCTTGTCAGCAGAGTAGGTCTGGCTGTGTGAACATACTGTATGTTAATGTAAAACTTGGATTAGTATTGCACAATTTTGGTGCTCATATTTCCCCGGATTTCGTCAGGCTAACGTTGATTGTAAAGTTGTACAGTTAACAAATAAATAAGGCTCAGTCGTGGTTTATACTCTGATAAACTCACGCTTGGCATTTGAAACACACGAGAAAATGTCAAGAAGCACGAGMTGAAAGCGAGTGCTTTTGGACATTTTTGAGTGTGTTTCAAATGCCAAGCGTGCGTTTATTCGAGTCCACAGGCTGAGACTTATTTATTTGTTTTATTATATAGATTTTGAGCAAAACTTAAGCAAAAATCCATTTTGTTGCCTTTTTCAAAAATCGTTCGCGCACAATCGTGGTTTATACTCTCATAAACCACACTTTTTTGGCCAATCAGAGCGCGCGTTAGAAATCATCTATATAATAAAGCATGATATGTTTGTGCATGAATGGGAGGGTAGTTACTTCGTGTCGGACCTTATGAAGTGTCTCATCTCTAGCTATAAATTATTGTTGTTTTATTGGATAATGTGGTAATATTATCTACACTAGGTCTAACATGAAGAACTTACGTTGGTTAATTATTTAATATTTTTAAACCAATAAATAAGGTTTAATTTTATCCGAGTAAATAATAGCTCTTGCTAACACAACCTGGCGAGTGTTTTTCTTCATCTCAAAGCTAACAGAATTGAATTAATAAACTCCATTTGATTTGTAAAGTAATTTGGGAATAAACTTTGCCAAGAATTGAGCATTGTTTAGTGAACGTTATTTCCTTGATTTGTATATCATGCCCTCATGGTGCTTGTATTGTAAAGATGGGTGTAACTACAGTACAAACATTAAATCTGTGCAACACTTTCCTCAATTTACTACAAAATAGTGTTAATTAAACAATAGAAAACAATAGAATTAGCATAATTTAGAAGTATTTACAGTAGTGGTATTTATGTTGCACAGTTTTAGTGTTTGTACTCTACCTTCTTTTAATTTTATGATACACTTATGAACCCAGTGTCGTGGGGTTCCGTGACCCCTATTTCTTGGAAGACAAAGTCTATGAAACGTGAGAATTAATACGCTCAATTAGTAGGAGAAACACACTTGTGCATTGTATAAKAGCTTGTTCGCTATGAACACAAAAGTTAAATCCAGTCCCAGCCGTGAAACTACTACGCGCACCCCTGGAACTGAAACTTTCCCGCTAGCCTATCCGCGATCCGCCAGGGTTCTCCACCACCCTTTCTTTGAATTTTTGTGACGAAAGGCCTTATGGGGCCTCGATCTCGTCACTATGTCATCGTATTGAATGACCGAACCGTAACCATCCACTTGTAGCAGGCGTTCCTTGCGAGTCCTTGATATGTTTTTAAAGTTGAAAAGAGAAAATCTCTAGAGAAAAACGAACGAAGTAACAGCAGCAAAGAAAAAGAAGCAAAAGAAAGAAGAAAAAGAAAAGAAGAAACAAACCCACTAAAAAAGAAACAAGCAAAAAAAGAGAAATTTCAGAAGCAGGACTCGAACTCAGAACTTTCATTTCAGGAGAAGATGTACCCCCCCGGAATACATAAGAAATAAGTGAAAATAAAAAACTAAAAAGATGGGACGATTCCCCCGAGACATTCTATGAAGCTGAGGCGGCGAATCGGCTTACGTTACGGTTAGAGATTTCGGCCCTTCCACGCTATCCCGAGTGAACATAAAACTTAGTCTTAACCAAAAGGCCAGGGAGTGAGGGGGTAGCCGCCCACTAGAGCATACCTTTAGCTACCCTCTTAGACCATCGTACTATGAAGACACTTAAGATATCTAATATCTAATTGGGGTAGTCTATTCGGTGAAGTTCTATGCTAATGTATGACGTCACCAAATCCTTAGGGATCAGCGAGCCAATCAGAGCTCAGATCTTGAATTACCAAAGATACAGGGCTCGGCATAATTATTCATTCAGTGGATTTATTATTTCATGGGGGTGGGGATGGGTAGTGAGTGCTGATTTGCGGCCGAATACCGATGTACTCGATGAACTGTGACGGCTTTCACCRAGCTGTTCAATTGTCGTTAATTATATTGTTTTCCAAATCATTACAGAAAAAGAGTGTCACGAAAAACTATATGTCTGGGAGTCAAAATAATTCACCAAAATCACAGTAAAATGTAATCCAGTCTAATC